GGGTCCGGGCTGGGGATTCGAACCCGCCACCTTAGGTGTATGTGGCTGGCGCCTTAGCCGGTTGCGCTATAGGCGCCGAGCCAAGGTTATACTTCTAATAGCATTTTTAATGTCATACAGTAGTCTTGGTGGGCATATAATTCATTTAACTGGTCCTTTGTTGTTGGATATTCAGGATGTTTCTTAAGTTTTAATATTACAAACAGTGCTTTGATAAACATAGCATTTCTAGGATGAATTTCATATATTGTTAGAATTAGGCCATTAAAAACCAGCTAAAATTTGCTTAGGTATTCTGTTATACAGCTTTATGGAGATGTAAGTTAAAGACCATGAAATGTGTTAGTTTGACACTTGTGTTATTTAAACAAAAGTAATGAAAAAATACCTTGTTTCTACTGTGATTGCATTTTGGTAGGCATTTCACTTTATTTGTGTAAAAATTGATTAATTTAGTTTTCTAGTTTAGTTTTCATACGGTGTTTATTTACATTTTCTGAGGAGGTATGTTACAGTGTTCTGTCTTTTAAATAGAACTTAATATAAAGGAGCTCTGTTGAGCTTCCTTATTTTTTCAAAACTTTTACAGAGATGGAGGATTTCAGAATTTTGAGATCCTTCTTTGAATGAAGGGTCCTTAGATGTCATACTTTATGTGGTAATCTATTCTTTAAGAAGTTGGGTTATAGTCAAGTTTGGCTGTACCTCTTGTATCTTTTGGAAGAGTTGCCAAAAATAGAATTAAAGATTGCTAGAACAAACAAGGAAGGGCTTCAGGGATATCATTTAACTCACTTTCTCATTATTCAGATTGGGATTATCTAAATCTTAAGTATATGAAGTGTTTTGTTCAAGGTTATATTACTAACCTAGTTGGTACAGTCTGCTCCAGAGTTTACATTTCTTGTTTCCAAGTTATTACTATTATTCCAAATTTATAGGGGTGGTTTTTTATTACACTGGATGATGATGTACTGCTAAAACTCATGGAATCCAAAGATAACCCTCTTGCCAGAATCCAGTGTATTTTTTTTTTTTTTTGAGATAGAGTCTCAAGTTGTCGCCCTGTGTAGGGTGCTATGGCATCATAGCTCATAGCAGTTTCCAACTCTTGGGCTCAAGCAGTCCTCTTGCCTCAGTTTTTCCACTTTTAGTAGACACAGGATCTTGCTTTTTGCTCAGGCTGGTCTTGAACTCATGAGCTCAAGCTATCTACCCTCCTTGGCCTCTCAGAGTGCTAGGATTACAGATGTGAGCCACCGTGCCTGGTCTCCAGTGTATTTTTTTTTTTAAGATGGTCAGATATCAAGCTAGGCATGGTGGCTTATGCCTGTAATCCTAGCACTCTGGGAGATGGAGATGGGTAGATTGTCTG